ATATCGTGATATGAAAAAACACGATTTTTCAACCGCAGAGGCTGTGATTACACTCGGTTATGTGACACACGAGAGTAAAGAAGTGTGTTCGACTTGAAGATTGATCGGTGTATGACATCAAAGTACGGCGAGAGAAAGCATAAGGAGACGTCCGCTCTCTTATAGCTCTTGCAGTACTTTGATTACACACACCGATCGGTCTAAGCAGCGCTGCTTCAAGTCGAACACATCTAAGCAGTCTTCAGAGGAAGCGTCAAGTTGGCACGCTACAGTGTTGCCAAGTCTGCGATTTGGGGAACCCCTCCAAAAAACTAGTATTTTACCCCCTGGAGCGCGATTTTTACCAGTGGACCCCCCTCGAAACGTGATTGGGCTAGTTTTGAGTAGCAATTGGGCAGGTTTTGATGTGAAAACCTGGCAACCCTGGCACGCTACACGCGGAAATGTTTGAAAGCGTATATATGAACGTACTTCAAAACGCCACATGGAAATTACTTAAGCAGTAACAGTGTTACGGTGCATTTCATTACTGAAGACTCCGACCTTAAAATAATATATATATAATAAGGTAATATATATATATATATATATACATATGACCCCTTTAATGTTTAGACCAGGCTTAATTTGTCAGTGCTTTATGTTGTCATAATTATTTCATGCTTACAAGGTTGGAAGTTCAACAAATCAGTCAGTATACTATTGGGATTGTAGTTGTTAAATAAAAATGTCATTCATATCCGATTCATGCATCATCTAATTTCATTGTAACATATAGGCCTGGCCTACAGAAAAGAACATTTATCTTTAATCGATCTAATATTGTGTTGGTAATATTATACAATGATTTATAGCTTGTCTTTGTTGAATAATACAGAACATAAAGAGCTTTAAAAAATAATTGCATATTAAATCGCAATCACAATATTGGTAAAAAAAAATAAAAATAAATTCACAATTAGATTATGTTCCAAAATCGTTCAGCCCTAATATATAGGTTGTTTAGGTCAGGATTCTGAAGTGTGTTAGCTTGAAATAATGGAATTGCACAAATTTGAAAATTTTCAGGTAGGTTTCCTAACTGTTCCCATGTCTGCCGTTGGTTGGACATACCAAGCGATGCTCAAGCAGAGCCATTTTTCATAGTGCAACAGAGTTTGTGCTTTTTGGGTAAATCAACCGGCACTTTTGACAGTCAACTTACTATTTAGTGGCCTTTAAAAGATCTCTGTGCCCAATACAGTTTATTCAAGTCCAACAGCTTTTGTTTGATTGTCTGTCTTAAACATCCTTCTCCATTAAAGATGACAGGTTAGTCGACAGTTAGTAGAATTGTCATTAGCTTGTAATTTTCTCTGCTGTTAACTCTTTAATCTGACAACTGTACGGTGGAATGTGTTATGCATCGTTGAGGGCTATTCGTGCCCCATGTGCTGCAGCTTGCTCCTTTGGAAGGCTCTAGTTTTGGCCAGTGATCTCACTATGTTTCCCTCGGTCTGCCTCTGAGGCGTCTCAATGGAGTGACCTCACACATTGATTCCAGCATCGTGAACGTGGGGGTGGATTGTGAAAGCACGCTCCTGCCAGATGCTTGGACAGCTCTTCTCAAGAAATGTATCACCTCATACTCTTTGTGGGGACAATCAGTAATGCCATAGTTACTGATTTATTTACAGATGTATTTTGGTCTGTGTACGAGTCTAGTGTACTAGTGTAGTTCAGAGTAGGGATGTAACGATTACCGGTTTGACGATAAATCATGATAAAATTCCCCATGGTTAGTATTACCGTTTCATCTTTTAATTATCATTAAAACCGTATTAGATTACCGCAATTTGAACAACTCGCGATAAATAAATACTGTCCAGCATAAAGCACAGTTTTAAGTAACAGTCTCACGTGCGCACAGCACGCAGAGTAGTTTAGTTTTGAGTGAAAACGGCGGAAAAGCTGGGAGGTTTTAAAAAAGTGCTAAGGGAATTTTACAAATGAATATATGAATGAATGAATTATATGAATGTACCTCTGAAGGTTCTAACTGTCTTCAGAAACGATTCGATGGCATTTTGTTTTCATCTTCGCTCCATGTAATACCTAAAGGAAGTGTTCTTAATCGCAATACTGCTTTGTCCTCGGAGGTTACAGGAACCAGCTCTAATTCAGCTTTTCCATAAGCGCCACCTGCTGTCAGAGAGTGGATTTACAGAGACTTATATTTACATTCAGTCTGTGTGCAGTTTCTGTCTGACCAAAAATGGACCGAATTTGCATGCCCTGCTGTTTTGACTGGTTGATGGAAAAACAAGCTTATATGGATTCTACACATTTAAACAATTAAGATAAGTTATCTAGAATTATTTATGGAGCAGATAAAATACATATAATCATTTATTAATTAATTATCATTTTGACTTGTATCATTTCTTTATTTAAATGTGAGGTTTACCTTTTTATTACATTTTTTCAAAGCTTTATTTGAACATTTACATTAGATATTTCAACATGCTATTAAACTGTTGTCAGTCAAGTTGTCATTTAAAATCCGAACATCATTGATAATGTTATTGTTTTAGTGATTATGCAAACAAAAAGTTCATTTTGTTTGTTGTTTGTTGATTTTTAAATATAAAACTTGGTGAAGTGATTTATGTGTTGGTACTTTTTTAACATCTCCAGCACATGTTAACAATACCGTGATAATAACGATAACCGTGATAATGTTGGTCACTATAACCGTGATAAGAAATTTTCATACCGTTACATCCCTATTTATTTGTTGTTTGTTGATTTTTAAATATAAAACTTGAAGTGATTTATGTGTCATTACTTTTTAACATCTCCAGCACATTTTAACAATATCGTGATAATACTGATAACCGTGATAATTTTGGTCACTATAATCGTGATAAGAAATTTTCATACTGTTACAATCCCTAGTTCAGAGATGCATTTTTCTGTAATCAGATCACGAGTGCTGTTACGGGGTCGTACACATGGTGTGCTTTTGAGTAGTGCAGGGCAGGCCTCGGTGTGTCAGTCTCGTTCCAAAATGTCTGTAGTCTGAAGACAAGTACAGACAGCTGTCTCGTGTGAAAGCTCTGTCCAAGAGCGTAATGGCTTTCAGCACCCGGCCCAGCCTGTGTTCTCTAACTGGCCTTTTCGCTCTTGATCTAAAATTTTCTTAGGATAGTTTCATTGAATGTCTTTATAAGTTAATAATTTTCACAAAAAAATTATTTGTGAAAATTAACATTGAATTATGCTCCTAACCTCTATGTGAAGTCCATAACGAGAAATGCTTATGCCATTGGAGCAGTTCAAGTTATTTTCATGTTATGGCCTATAGCTGATAAATGTCTCATATTAAAATTCTATACTAATACTATACTAAAATCAATTACTTTAAACACTACACTTGATTTTAGTGTAATTCGGTGTCATCAAAATGTACAGTGTAAAGATTACATTTAACAGTATTATAAAATTATTAGTGTTTTTAAATTATTATTCAATTATATCAGTTATTAGTGTTTTTAAAGATCAGTTTGAAGTTATGATGGTACACGTAATCCAAATAGAGTATGCACAATTAAAGTCACCATAAGAACTATATGGTCTTTGTATTATTATTATTATTATTATTTGTTTACTTATTTTATTTATTTATTTATTTTTGCAATATTGTAGAGTTTGTTATAACTTATTTATCCATCATTATTTAAAAAAAAAAGTTCCATCATAATCTTTAATTAAATATATTAATACATTTTCTTGTTTGAGAAGCCGTTTCACCCGTATATACTTCATAATGGGGAAAATATGATCGCAGTTTCCGTTTCATGCCGACTACATTTTTATTTTCGACCAATGCCGGGAAATTACCTCTAACATCACCCAATATGGAACGATATATCGTTCAGTCAGCGCTTTAAATATACATTGAAATATTAGTAAGCAGTTGTGATTTAATCTGCCTTTTTCATTTAATTCAATTACATTTTAAATGACTTGTCAGCCCTAGTTGTTACATATGTTACTATATTTGTTGTTGTCACTTCACCGGGGGACCTTTTTCTGTTTACATAGTATTACGCAATGCTCCTCAGCTATACTGCTTGGCAGATATTTGAGTTTGACAGTTAAATATTTTAGTACATGAGGTGAAGGTAGTGTTGACTCGATCAGTGGACTGGCATCTCACTGTCCTGCTTGCTGTGCTATGTTTTAGAATGAAATGCCCCTAAAACTTGTCTTTTTTGAGGTGAAATTTGGAACTTCACTTTCATTGAAGTTTTTTAAACACTACATTTCTCTCTGTCATCATGCGGTTTAGGAAAATATTGTATCATCGACAAACCCACCTCACCTTCCCTGTTTCTATGAAAACCGCACAGGATGTCCTCTTCTAGTTTACCTGCCAAACAAGCAAGGTTGTCATGAGAGCCTACAAGAGCTCTTTTTCTCCAGGAAGGTTGAGGGTTGTTTGTCTATAAATACCCCCTCCCCTTGCCTCCTCTCATTCACTTCCTGGCCTTTAAGAGGGGTCAAGTTGCACAGCTGCTCTCATTTGCTAATGTTAACCTGCTCTGTAGGGCTCTGTTCCTCTGGGCCATCGCCTGCCAGTGGCCTTGTGTTTGTTCCTCTTTAGAAATTTGTTCCTCTTTTTTTTTTTTTTTTTTGGTCCAGAGATTTTCCAGGGCATCTTATAACCAATTAAAATTGGGTTCCGGCTTTCATTCAGACTGATTCGACAGTCGAATTGACTGATTCATTAAAAAGAACTGCACCAATGAAGCGATTCGTTCACAAATGCTTATTGCGCTAAATGTTCCTTTTTGTGGTGTCAGCAAGTGCATTGTTATTTATTGTCAATATATTATTTTGGTGCCAAGTCTTTCTCATAACATGCAATTCACAAGTTGACAACTCAGCTAAAATATATAAACACTAGTTTTACCTTTGTGTCACCTTTCCTCATGACCTCCTATTTTGTTTTGCAGGCCCGAATAGCGTTCCTCCAAGGAGAAAGGAAGGGTCAAGAAAATTTAAAGAATGATCTTGTTAGAAGAATAAAAATGTTAGAATATGCATTAAAACAAGAAAGGTTTGTAGTGTTTTTTTTTCTCAAACATTGCGTGTTTTGTATATGTGTGTGTGTACATATTATGTACTTATGTACAACGATTCTCTTTTCTATTACCAGAGCAAAATACCATAAATTAAAATATGGGACAGAACTAAATCAAGGTGAAGTGAAAATGCCTAGCTTTGAATTGGGTAAGTGGACACAACTTCCTTTTGAAAATCTGTATATACACTTGTAGCATATTTCATGTGATGAACTCTGCTAATAAAAGAGGTCTTCCCCTTTAAATATTCCTTTTCCGATGTGATGTCATTGTTAGAGTGGAAAGAAAAATGTCCAGTGTAATGAGGACACAGTAGCGTTTCACATGGCAGTTCGATGTCCTCTAAGTCCTGATCTGTTCTCCTGCTGA